GAACCATACACCGCCGTATGCTGTCTTTTATCCATGTGGTAAGCAGTGGAGTGAGGCCCCTTGGGCCACTGTACGTGTTCATAAGAAAACAAAAAACAAAAAACGAGAGGGCTAAAGGCATCTTCATCCTGACCCATAACTGGCGACGTGCAGAACTGAATGCCAATCTTCACGATATATAGGTGGTCGGCTGCCCTTTTTCAACACAACTGCTGGCTGCGACGTTGCGGAGTGGGGCACGTCGCCACTAGGCTCTTCTCTCTTCTTGCAAATTTCTTCCACTACTGTGGGGTATTTTCAGAAGGGAGGGGGTTAGGCCTGTTTTCACAAGCCACCAGAAAAAGAAAAAGGAATGAAGTTATGAGCCCTATTTTCATGATTCGCCATTTCGGACTGCAGATTTGGAACATCAGATCGAATTGAGAAGGTCAAATTGAAAAGGTCGAGAAAAAAATTCGCGGGCCTTGGCACGACCCAAATTTTTTTTTTCGCGCGCCCGGTTCCAATTTTCCCCACGCCCCCCCGAACTCCTGGAACCCGACCCGCAATTTTTTTTTTTTCTGGTACCCTGCAATTTCGACCATGCGCCGCGCGTCGTGCGGGCGCCGCTTGCGCGCTGCGGCCTGCGCCGCACGTGCGCAAGTGCCGCGCACGACGTGCGCCGCAAGTATGGTGAAAACCGTTTCAGATCCTTTGGAAAAAATAAGCACCCTCAGGAGGGGTACTATGCTACTCTGGAAAACTGAGTTTATTAAATTGTGTAAAAAAAACAAAGAAAGGGTACCGCTGCTTTGGATTTTAAAACCATTTTGAAAAAAAAAAAAAAAAAACCATTGGAATTTGGAACAGGCCTCTATCTAAATGACTGCCACTGTTTTGCAACGCCCCTGAGATTTGCAATGTAATATTTAAGAAAATTTAACACGCAAGAAAGCTGCTCGCAGTGGGGAAGAGTGAAAAGGACGCTGGTGGAGCGTGGTTTCACACGCACAGGGTGCATTGCTCGGTGTGGGGGAGGGTGCAAAGGATGGTGGCAGCGCATTCCCGCCCCCCTCCCCCCCGGTGGACCCCTGAGGTTTGATAAAAAGAGTGGGTAGGGGGGCCCTTTACAATTAACCCAGCCTTAGGAATTATTGCATTTCCCTCGATGATGAAGCGAACATGGCACATTGTATGAAATGAAGGAGGGATAAGGAGAAAGAATTGGAATCACTGGATCACTACTTGCAGACGACGATGGCGGTTTGCGTTAACGTCGTCCGGGCGTGAGTGGCAAACTGCTCCGGCACCAAGCCAACGAGACAAGAAGAAAATGGACTGCAACCCTCGGCCCCTGCCATGGGTTGGGCATCATGGGGATGCGTAGCGATGGGAACCCCCAATTAGCAAGACCAAGAGTTTTTCCCACCCCTTTCTGTAGTGATGTGGACCCCTTTTTCGCAAGGCCAAGAGTCCCACCCCTTTTCGTTGTGATGGGGAGACCTTTCCTCCAAGGCAAAGAAAATGGATAGCCCCCCCCCCCCCCCCCCCAACCCACCCACCCCCTCCTTATGCATCAGCATCATGGCGGCATGTAAATGATGTGGACCCCGCTTCCTCCCATGGCCAATGCATCGGCATCATGGTGGCATGTACTGATGCAAACAAACGCCTTTCTTGCAAGAAGATGAACTGGGCCCTGCAATGGACAGTCTTGTCTTAAAAAATAAAAAGAAAAAGAAAAAAAAAATGAAAAAAGAAAAGAAGATGGATGCAAAAGCAAAAAGGTAACCCCCCCTCCCCTTTCCTTGTGCGTCGGCATCATGGCGGCATGTAAATGAGTGGACCCCCCTTCCTCCCATGGCCAATGCATCGACATCAGGGCAGCATGTATTGATGCAAACAACCCCCTTTCTTGCAAGAAGATGGACTGGGCCCTGCAATGGAAAGTCCCTGTCTTCAAGAAACAAAAGAAAAAGAAAAAAAAGAAGAAGAAGGTGGATGCAGAAGCAAAACCCTGTAAGCGATGGTTTAAACTTTGAAGTTGCTTGGTGTTTGTTTACCATGCCAGCTTAAGGAGCTCAGAACTCGCTTGAACCTTTGCGATGTGTGCAGCATCTAGTTCCGCCCTGCAGGACTTGTACAAGCCATCGAGAAACGTCGACCTGAAGATCTCCACTGCTTCTCGCATCGATGTTCGTTCAAAATCTTTAACGCTCTCCACCGTCTTGCCGGCGGTTTCCTCGGCGCAAGCAGTGTTGAGCTCATTCAGCAACTGTGAAACTGTTGGGACGGTCGTGGGATCGAAGTCCTCGCACGCTTGAGGATCGATTGGAACGCACACCCTGCCTGTTTTCGGATGCACACAGAAGGGTGCCTTGAGAAGATGGTTCATGCTCTTCGACACCTCAAAGTCGAGCCTGGGGTACGTGTACACAAAAATAATCTCGTCTAAGCATCTTCGCATCCCGTGGGTCTTGACCTTAGAGGCTTTGACACACTTCTCAAGATCTTTCCACCTCTGCACATTCACGTCGACATCGCCATTCGGTTGTCGTCGGCTGCTCCACCTGATGCGCAACTGGTTCCTGACGTCGTTGTCGGGGATCATGCAAAGAACTTTCTCCCAACTTTCCTTGTCAGCCAGCAGCTCTTGTCCTGGCAATATCAATTCGATAAAGAAACGTTCGAGGACTTGCTCGTACGCGCGACTGAGGCTGGGGTGCAACGACGGACCGGGAAGGGCTACTTTTACAGCATTGTTCTCAGAACCCTTGTAAACTCGGAAGTACTCAGCGATCGCGCTTCTCTGGTCGTTACCCAGTCGGCGTGCCCTCGGGTCGCACACCCAGCAGTGAACGCCACGGCGCCCGCTGTACACCCACAAAATGTGCATGAACCCGAAGTCCTCGCGCAATGCTGTGTCCAGCACACGTATTACGACGGTCATGAGCGGCCAGCAGCGATTGCAGACGTCTGCACCTTTGCAGCAGACCCTCACGTCGTCGTAATCGGATATATCGACGTCGAAGACAAGTTCGCGCTCCACGGGTGCGAATGTCTTCTCCGACCCGGCCCGATGATACAGTTGTCGTTTCGACGGATCGAAATTGAACACCGCTCCAATGTCGATCTTGAAGGGGCATTTGTCTCGTATAGCAGCTTCCATATCGTTGCAGTTTTTGAACGACTGGTATCGGATGTAGATATCGTTGTCAAGGGTGAAGGAGAACTCCCTCCGCGCAAAAAACGACATGTCCGACTGCGGATGTTTCCGATCATGCCCGTAGGAAAGCCACTTGTACATCTCCTGATAGGGAAACAATCTGGCATAGTACATTCGCATGAGATCGGCATCAAAGCCTCGATACTGCTCGACAAGGAGGAGATGATCTCCAGCGGCTCCAACCGCTGTAGGAATGCGATCAACAGCACCACGAGCTTCCCTCACCTCATGCCTGTCATCATCCGTTCCTACCATTTCAGCTGCATCCACCATATCCTCATCATCCTTTCTTACGCGTTCTACCATTGTCGTTCGGAGAAGAAGAACAAACCTTAATGCACTTCTCTTTCGCTACGATGATGAGGACGATGATGATGAGGAGGAGGATAACAACAACAACAACAACAACAACGATGACGACGATGACGATGACGACGACGAAGACGAAGACGATGACGATGAGGATGAGGATGATGATAATGATGATGATGGATGATGGAGGATGATGATCAATCAATCGGAGAAAAAGCGCCTAAATCACTCCTGTATGGAAACAGACCGTGTTTCCACCGCTTGCTCTTCTGTTTTCCACAGTGTCTCTTCCTGTACATACCAATCAGAGAAAAGGCGCACAAGTCGCATAAACGACCATTTCTGTTTTCTACCATTGAAACCACCACTCCATCCGGGTCTTTTTCTTTTCTTTTTTTTTTTTTTTGAACATCCTGAAGGTCCAGCTAGGGGTAATGATAAGAGCATGTACCCCTAGCTATTCCTACAGGTGGCTCCGATCTAGTGGTGGGGAGAAGCATCCGGGCCTATTTTGACAAACCAAAAGTTGCATCCTCCCAAGCCTGAGATGTACAGTGTGGCCCTGAGGAAAAGTAATTCTGGTGCTGAGCCTGGGCACTGCAGATTTTGGCCTGGTGATTGTAGACAAGAAAAATGAACAGTGCAGGGCCCGCTGGAGTGGTGGTTTAATCCTCCGTTTTCCACCATTTGCTCCCTTCTCCGTTTTCCACTCTTTGATCCTCCTTTGCATGTGCCTCTCT